CTGTTTTTTTCTTGTAAATTTGTTTAAGTTCTTTGTAGATTCTGGATATTAGCCCTTTGTCAGATCGGTAGATTGCAAATTTTTTTCCCATTCTGTTGGTTACCACTTAACTCTAATGATGTTTCTTTTGCTGTGCAGAAGCTCTTAAGTTTAATTAGATCCCATTGGTCTGTTTTGGCTTTTGTTGCAATTGCTTTTGGTGTTTTAGTCATGAAGTCCTTGCCTATGCCTATGTCCTGAATGGTATTGCCTAGGTTTTCTTCTACGGTTTTTATGGTGTTAGGTCTTATGTTTAAATCTTTAATACATCTGGAGTTAATTTTTGTATAAGGTGTAAGCAAGGGGTCCAGTTTCAGCTTTCTGCACATGGCAAACCACCCATCAAAAAGTGGGCAAAGGATATGAACAGACACTTTTCAAAAGAAGACATTTATGCAGCCAGCAAACATATGATAAAATGCTCATCATCACTGGTCATTAGAGAAATGCCAATCAAAACCACATTGAGATACCACCTCACACTAGTTAGAATGGTGATCCTTAAAAAATGTGGAGACAACGGATGCTGGAGAGGATGTGGAGAAATAGGAACACTTTTACACTGTTGGTGGGAACGTAAATTAGTTCAACCATTGTGGAAGACAGGGTGGTGATTCCTCAAGGATCTAGAAATAGAAATACCATCTGACCCAGCAATCCCATTAGTGGGTATACACCCAGAGGATTATAAATCGTTCTATCATAAAGACACATGCACACGTATGTTCACTGTGGCACTGTTTAGAGTAGCAAAGACCTGAAACCAACCCAAATGCCCATCAATGATAGACTGGACAGGGAAAGTGGCACATATACACCATGGAATACTATGCAGCCATAAAAATGGATAAGATCATGTACTTTGCAGGGACATGCATGAATCTGGAAACCATCATTCTCAGCAAACTGACACAAGAACAGAAAACCAAATACTGCATATTCTCACTCATAAGTGGGTATTGAACAATGAGAACACATGGACATAGGGAGGGGAACATCACACACTGGGGCATGTTGGAGGGTGGAAGGCTAGGTGAGGGATAGCAGGGGTGGGGGGATTGGGGAGGGATAAAATTAGGAGAAATACCTAATGCAGATGACGGGGGTATGGATGCAGCAAACCACCATGGCATGTGTATACCTATGCAACAGTCCTGCATGATCCGCACATGTACCCCAGAACTTAAAGTGAGCTACTGACTTTAACAATAAAGGGGAGGTCTCTTTCCGTATTCAGGAGAAAAGATCAAGTCACTTAGAAGGAACAAGCATTCTCAGCAGCAACATTTTTTGCTGCTGGTTAACATTACCCTTCTGGTTGACATTTTACCACAAGGCAGGGAAGCAGCAGATTTAAGACTCTCAAGAAATGAAAATGTGAGACAAACACCTTCAAAAGGTTAGAAACAGACCAATGAAGTAAACCAAATAAAGCAAAGAAAGAAACGAGTAAATATAAAAGCAAAAATTAAATGTTAAATTAATTAAGCTGATTCTTTTTCAAAAAAAAAAAAAATCGAGATGAGTAAACCAACTGGCTAACCTAAAACAAAATGGAACAAAACAAAACAAACAAAAATGCTACTAGCCAACCTAACAACAGCAAGACTCTACAGAAATAACAAAAAGATACAAAATTAGGAGAAAATGTTAATCAAACAGAGGAAATAAAAGCTATTGACACAAATCTATGTTACCAAATAATGAGGCAAAATAGAGGATAATTTGCTAAGAAAATATACTTTACCAAATAGACCCCAATAGACCAATCAAGTCCAAAACAGACAATTTTGACAGAGCACTGTGACTCACACCTGTAATCCCAGCACTTTGGGAGGCCAAGGTGGAAGGATTGCTTGAGCCCAGGAGTTGGAGACCAGCCTGGGCAACAGAGCAAGACCCTCTCTCTAAAAAAAGTTTTAAAAATCAGTCACGCATGGTGGCACACACCTGTGGTCCCAGCTACATGGGAGAATGAGGTAGGAGGATCTCTTGAGCCCAAGAGTTGGATGTTGCAGTGAGCTATGATCACACTACTACTGCACTTCAGTCAGGCTGACAGGCAAGATCTCTTGTCTGTACTAAAAAATGAACACATTAAAAAAAAACTAAATATAAAACAGACAGTTTTCCAAAAAAATAGGAAATACTGCAAAGGAAGCCACACACAAAAGCAAAGGACCAGATGGTTTCACAGGGGACTGATACCAAACTTTTAAAGTAAAAACAATTCTAACACTGCTCAGACTATTTTATAGCATGCATACATACCCGCTGCCTATACACATGAAAAATCTGATATCAAAACCTAACAAAGATTAGACAAAATTTAAAACAAGGAAAATAATAACATATAATAAAACAGCACATTAAAATAGAATAAAAATGTATGTTGACTCAGCTGAATTTTTTCTTTATAGGAATGTAAGAATAACTCAATATTTAAAAATCTGTTCTATTACAAGCACTAAGGAAAAAATAGTAATTTGACAAATCAAAAACAATCATTTGACAAACTAAAAACTAGTCATGATACAACTCTCAAAATTTGAAATTAGTATTTATTCATTTAATCTCATAATGTATACATACTTCAAACCCCAACTTCTCAAACTAGCTAAGGAAGAAACACTAGAGATGTTCTAGATAAACCAAAAACCAAACAAAAATGTTCACTGCCCCTACTTTTTAAAATTTTACCAGCAATGTTAGTCAATCCATTTATTTTAAGTTAGTAAAAGCAATTTAGGCCATAAAAATTAGAAAGAAAAAGACAAATCTTTCTTTATTTGCATATGATATGATGACATGGAACCATCAAAAGAATTAGCAGGAAAACTAATATGACTAATACAAGAATCTAGTATATTTAGTAAAGTGGCGGTATATAATATTAATGTATAGAGACCAACAGCCTTCATTTAAAAGAACAAGTTAGAATATATAATAGAAGTTAAGATCTCATAAAGATAACAAAATGATTAAATAAAATACCAAAGCATAAATACCACCAAGAATGTGCAAAATCTATATGAGGAAACCTACAAAACACTCATGTATGACATAAAATGCAGACAAAGGAATGATTGTCCATGATTTGGATAAGGATTGTATACGGAACAATTAACCACATACAAAGCCAGTGACAATGGCAAACTGGGAAAAATAATTGCAACTTATATCACAAAGAGCTGATACTTCTAACACACACAGAATGGCCAAAATTTGAATGAAAGACTTAAAAATGGCTCTTGATACATAAAATCCCATTTAACCTCACTCTCAAAAGGGAAATGCAAATTGAAACTACAGTGGATAACTGTTTCCCACCTTCAGACTGGCAAACATCCAGAAGCCTGACATGTTTTGTGGTGACCATGTGGGAAAGAAGCACCTGTGTACATTGCTTGTCAAAATACAAAGCAGTTCAGAGGATATGGAGTACACAGAAACTAGTAAAGGACACCATCTGAATGCAATCAGTCAAATCTCTAATGTAGAATCTTCCACAAGACAAAAGACGCATGTCTCCCAATGGATCAATGACATAGAAAAATTTTCTGCAGCATATGAAAAGCTGAAACTTAACGGACTTACAGAGACTTAAAGGGAACGTAAGAAAGATAATAATCAAATATACTATGTAAACCTTTTCTGAGTCTTGATTTGAAGAAATCAACTATAAAAAAAATTTGTGACAATTCAGGAAATATGAATGTGGATTGAGGGTATTAGCCTAAACTAAGGAATTATTGTTAAGTTTTGTTATAAATATTTTACCATATATAAAACACCATTATATTTGATAATGGTGTGGTGGTTATATGAAAAAAGAAAATTTTATCAGTCACCAATACAAAAGGAGTTATTTCTGAAATGACTTGGTGTCTCAGATTTGCCTTGAAATGAAACAGAATTAGCTAAATACTGATAATTGCTGATGTTTAGTTACAGGGATTCACATTACAACTGTAACACAGTTGGGGTAAATTTTTTAAAGTCCACACTAAAAAGTTAAACATAAAGCCAGTAATGCATTGACTGTGATCTCTGTCATTCAAGAATGGCACACGATAAATTATGATAAAAGGGAGGCAATGAAATTGACCAATAATTATGTGTTATACATTGTCTCCGTAGATTCTCAAAATCCTTGCACAAAATAAAACACCACCAAAATTAGCTAACTTGAGATGCTGATATAACCAGTAAATGAAATAACTGGGATCTGGGTCGTCTGTCATTTGTCAAATCCTTAAACCTGCACTGCTATTACTGTTTCCCAAATAGTACAATTTTAAATACTCTAGGGACAGTGTCATCTACATATTTTTAACCTATGTAAAGATTAGTGCTACAGAAGGAAGAGATATCCAGTGAAAGAAATTTTCTTTCTTCTTTTTTCCCTTTAAAAATTTTTATGTTTATTTTGTTTCCACTTGGTACTAATTTCACATGACACGTTATTTTCCTTTCCATCCCAGGAATTGTTTCCATCTCATGTCCTTTCTTTTGTCCTTTTGTATCTTCAAAACACCTCAAGTAAACGACATCTGCTGTGATATTATCATGCTCTAACTCTATCATGTGACTCTGATTCTGCACTCCATAAGTCCACAAATATTAACAAATGTTTCTCTGGGCCAGACCCTGTGCCAGGCCGTGGGCTCAGCCCTAGGTGGCATGAACAACCGTACTCTGGACTTCACATAGCTATTAGTCGAATCATCTTGTTTCCTCCCAGATAGTTCAAGACTTTGTGCCTTATATTTAACTTTTAAAATAGTGTCATGCAACAATTTCTCCCAATCTCCAGAGTTATGGCTTTTTAAAAAGGACTTCAATATGAATAAGATAAAATGATGTTTAGTTTTACTGAAATGAACATGAAAATATGATTAAATGGATTAAGGTTTTCGATGTTTTTAGGTTCTTAGTTTAAATGACATGGAAATGCTCACCTTGACAATGCCCCGGATGTGCATTTTTGCTATCATCTCTGCCGTGTAGAGAAACATCAATAACGTATCCAAAGTGAAGGTCACATACTGAAGTGGAGGATAGTGCTCGAAGGTCACTGGCGTGTTCATGCAAACAGAAATGACGCTGATGATAGCACAGATGCGCAGCAAAGAGTGAACCCACTGCAACGATGATCCAGAGTTATTACAAGGCACCATACCTGATATCTCAAACTTGTATTATGAAACATACTAAGTGGAAAACATAATACTGAGGTTAAAATAGTTCACTAATATGGAGGTGAAGAAGAAAACTAACATCTAAGTGCACATAATATTCTAAAAGTATTTTCAGATGTTTTTACATCATTTAATTCTCAAAGAATCTATTTTCCACATAAACACACTAAGACAGAAAGGTGGAATCATTTCTGTGGTTATGCGTTATAAAAGAGCCAAAGTCTAGATGGAACCTGATCAGCCTCCCCCAAACATCTGATAACTTCCTGGGCATCAGACTACAATATAGGAAGATTCTAGTTCATTTAAAATATGTGTTTGTAATTTAGCCACATATGAACTTGATGTGCTATTACTTATTCATTTTTTTACTATAAGTACCTAGAATTAGAGGCCATACCTTATTTACTGTAACTTCCCTAATATCTAGCACAAAGGGACTACCGTAGTAGATCAGAAATGATTTTTAAATGAATTGATATATAACACACCCCAGAGTTAGAATTTCCTTTCTATTTGCATCTTATATATAATTTCTTTATATAAAAATACAAACAAATTTTTTTAAAAATCTGGTCTCTTTCTATATTTAAAAAATAATAAATAGACTTTTTTCTTTATTTTGGAGAATATATTTTATACAAATTTAGACCAGACATCTTTCAGAATTCCACAAAATGACTTTTTGTGCAATCCTAGAGGCAAGTCTGCTGTATGAAGGTTTTCTTTAACCCCAAAATAAGAAGAAAGAATTAAAGATAAGTATGTGTGTGTTCACATGAACTGATATACAAGATACACAATCACTCATACTCAATATTTTATTATGAAAACTAATATCTCATCTCTAGATTGCTTATAAAGAAAACAAATGAAAACTAATATCTAAGGAAAAAAATACTTAACTGCATCTCCATGCTAAATCTACACAATTACTATTACCAGTTAATCAATTACACAATTCTTAAACATAATCCAAATACTTTTTAATTGACTAACTTAGACATATATGAAATCATGATAATTCTTTAATATTATACTATCTGAAAAAAATGTTTAGTTTTATAGTAGATGGATTCTGCAGCCATGTATACTAGCAAGCCCTCAAGATGAAAAGTAGAAAAGACTGTCAGAACTTTCAGGAGACTCAGACACTTGCAGCTGATGAGTGGGTTATAATATTTATCTGGCAGTTATAATCTTTACATGAAGATATAATGCTGCTAATTCCATAACATATAAGAAACTGATGATTCAATTGACTTTGAGTGTTGATATATTTTTCATGCAATTTGGAAGCACTTCAATAAACATCAGTGTGTGAATTTGGCCCCATCTGGACTTTCAATATAAAGAATCTAATTACACAAAAGAGCTTCCAAATATAGGGTCTTCAACAACAAACCTGTTTTGAGTTTGAAGACAGAATTTTAATTAGGTATTAATAATTTTAGCAAGTGCCTCCAAGGCTACATCTTTGATACTACCTTTTTCATAAGTTCTTAGAAAGCTCTTTAATAAGGTGGACACTAGGAAAAAGATCAGGGAGCTTCATTCTCTATTTTATTAAATTCTCTAAGTGTGAATGAAGGCCTACTATGTGTCAGAAGCTGGGCGTGGAGAACAAAACATGGAAGTAACACACTTCTGGCTCCTATTTTTCAGTCCAAGAAGTAAAACATCCACAAATGTACTCTCTCTCTCTCTCTCTCTTATATATATATATATATATATATATATATATATATATAAACATGTATATATAAAAAACGTGTGTATGTACACACACATGTAAATACATGTAGTGTGGAGGGCAGATCAGAGAAAGACAGACTGGGAAGAACAGCAAAGAATCCATGCAGATTCTGCATGTAACATGGTTGGGGAAAGACAAGCTCTACAAGAGGCAAGAACATGTTATATTATATAACACTATAAAACATGTTATAGATAGGACATAATATACATATATTTATGGATATACTGTCTCATGTATATAGCATATATACATATTGCATATACATATACATGTTATATGCATGTATATATGCATATATGCATGTAATACATATAATACAAATGTATATGTACATGTAACATGTATATATGTTGTACACACATAACATTTATATATGTAATGTGCATATGTTAATACATATACATATGTGTGAATATAATGGGTATATATGTGATATACATATAATGTGTTATATGCTTATAGGTATGCATATATAACGTGTATATATACATAAGGCAATATATCCATAAATATATGTATATTATATAAATATACACATAATCTACAATGTATATAATATAAATATACGCATAATATATGACATATGTACAATATAAAGTGATTTAAAGGTAACATATTTATATACAAATATAAAACAATGTAAGTGGAAAGAGAAGAGAGGTTCACTCTGTCTGTGGCAGAAATAAGCCTTTCAGAAGAGGACGCTGGGATGACATCTCAGCCAGTCCTAATGGATGAGGAGAATTTGACTCATCAGAGAAGCTGGGAAAGGGTCACTGGGGCCAGGGAGCAGTGCAAGCAAAGGAAAGCATTGTGAATAAGCCAGAGATCCGGGAGGAGTGGGAGGCTGCTGATGGGGCTGGAGTGGACAGTGTGCCCACGCAGGAAACTAGCAGCTGCTGGACAGGCTAGGTCCGGAAAGAAAAGAACCAGGAATGTCATACTAACATATTTTAATTTGCAATGAAGGTAATAGGATGGTTCCATGATTATAAAGCAGAAGGGTCATGTGAATAAAAATAGAAATATGGAAAGAAGGTCGGGTGCGGTGGCTCTGCCTGTAATCCCAACACTTTGGGAGGGCGAGGCAGGTGGACCACAAGGTCAGGTGTTCAAGACCAAGCTGGCCAACATAGTGAAATCCTGTTTCTACTAAAAATACAAAAATTAGCTGGGTGTGGTGGCACACACCTCTAGTCCCAGGAGGCTGAGGCAGGAGAATCGCTTGAACTCCTGAGGCAGAGGTTGCAGTGAGTAACCCTGAAGTGAGCAACCTTGCCATTGCACTCCAGCCTGGGTAACAGAGTGAGATTCCGTTGAAAGAAAGAAGGAAAGAGAGAAAGGAAGAAAGAAAGGAAAGAAGGAAGGAAGGGAATAAAGAAGGAAGGAAGGGAAGGAAAAAGGAAATATAGAAAGAAATGTAAGCAGGCTGGGGAAGTAATCTGGAAGACAGATTAGAGAAGACAGACTGGGAAGGACAGCAAAGAGTCCAAGCAGATCTGGTGTGCATCATGGTTAAGGGAAAGACAAGCACTGCAACAGGCAACAGGTCATTTCCTTTTGTTTCTTCAGCATCAACCACGAGATAAGGAAGAAATTGATCCTGCTTGGTTTTGCAGAGCTGACATTCCAAGCATGCCTGTCCGGCTTAGCTCTGGTTGCTACGCTCTCTGGCATACAGTGGTACCTGGCCGAGCAGTTCTCCTTCTCAAATCCTCATCAACTTAATTAGACAGTGTCGGTGACAAAGTTCTTCAGAGATACCATCCATTATCTCATTGACCTTTTGCTCAAAACTTGCAAATCAGAAGGAGACCTTTAATTCCAAACATGTGCCTGTTGTCTCATGGATTCAGGCGTGTTGATAACAAGTAAAGGAAGTTCATTAAGAATGGGTTGCCCATTTTGGACTCCGGCTTTGGATGAGCCTGGGAAGTGGCATCATCACTATACCACATGACTCTGAGGACAGGGTGCACGCTGTGGGAAGGGGAAGTGAGGGGATTGGACCACTCAGAGCATCTTCCTATGTGAGTAACTCATAGCGGCATCTCCCTATTTCACTGGATTTTTCTCTACCTCCAGACTCTGAAACTCATCCATATTCTACAGCAGCTCAGACATTTTGAAGCCAAAGGTACAGGATATTTGAATTTGTCAATCAAATTTCTCTTACATTCACATGTGCTTCTCCATACTCGAAGAAGAAACTTACTGGTTTGTTAATCCAGAGGATGTCAGCATTGTCTGACAGAGATTCATCAGGACCGAAGTCAGTGACTGGCTGGGTTTCCACCCTGGAGCTCTGCTTCCTTTTGAGCATGCTGAGGTTAGCTTTGGTGAGCAAGCACAAAACCACAGTCTGGGAAAAGGAAAAATTGTATATGTCATCGAAACCATCTTTGCCCACATCAAAAAATTGAGTTCCCCACATATATCTGTGTATTTGTAAGGCATACATGTGTTCTACTTCATAGTGTATAATAAACACATGAAAATAGAAACTTTAAAAGGATGAGATAAAATTAACACCAATAGAAGCTTGATTTTTTCCTCCCAATGCAATCGATTATTTTATGTACTTCATAAGCAGTTTAGAGACTAGCGATCTGGAATAGCTAGAGTAAAATAATTTTGCTTCTTAGGACAGACATATTATCAGGAAAATCTTTTTAGATATATGCTCATATACCTAAAGCTGACTCCACACAGAGGTGCTCTGTGCTAGAACGCTGCTGACTAATCCAGATGAAATGCTCAGATCTTCCCCATGATTTTCCCCAGTGTTAAATTAATATGACATTCACAGATATCTCTTACTTGCAACAATAGTCCCAACTTGATATCTCAATTTTGTCCTCCCCAGAGAGGAGGGTGGCAGAAAGAATAGGGGAAGAACTGCCTGTAAATGGAGACTTTTTTCTCTTATGAATGCAGTGATTATCTAAATTCTTCCAGCTACTCTGAAGTAAATTATTCATCAAATTACATTGAGGTGGGAGATGAGATGCCTGCTTACTGCTTACATTTCCGCAATCCTGAAACATCTACATTTTGTGACAGATGTCACCTCCCCATGGCCATTGATACTGCCTTACACAAGTCAGCAGTCACTTGAGGGGGCCTATTATATGTCAGCCCTCAGGACACAAACAGAAAATAAGTTCAATACAATGTGAGAAGAGTTGTTATAAAAGGCAGGTGGTGCCTGATGACCCCTGAGTCCACTGTGAGACTGCGCATTTGATTAGCACCTGGATTGAATCTTAAAAGGTGGTAAGAAACTAATGGCTATGGATATATACTATGTTTGGAACAATTAGCAATGATATTTTATTTGATCTTTACAACAGCCTTAACAAAAAAAAAAATTAATCTCATCTTACACATGCATGCGTAAAGTCAGCCTCAAGGCAGTTAACTTGACCAAGGCCATCCAAGCAAACTTGAAATTTAAAATAAGCTCTGTTTGACTACAAAGCATAAGGGGTTTAGGCTTGACTATGCTGAAGCTGAGGACCATTAAGAGAATTTTTCAAAGCAGGTAACAGAGAAAAAGAGCACTTCAGGCAGTGCACAGCTGTGCCGAGTCAGGAAAATGTACCACTGCAGTTTTAACACCAGGCTGGTTCACTGGCTCTCCTACCTGGTGCTCCATGGATCTAGAGAAAGAAATTTAATCAAGGACAATGGGTGCCATTTAGTCCTCACCAGAGTCCAAGAAAAACAAGAACATGTTTGCAGTGTGTGTGTGTGTGTGTGTGCGCGCGAGCACGCACGTGTGTGGGTGTGTGTGTGTGCATGTGTGGGTGTGTATGTGTGCAGTTGCAGTTTTTACTACGAAAGAGAATAAAACACAGAAACTCAGAACTCGGCAGCTCAGAATCTGATTGCCTGTATTGAGCGCCTTCCTCCATCACTATGTGCTCCTTTATCTACCTGGGCAGGTACCTCTGCCTAACCCTCCTGATACAGTTTGGCTGTGTCCCCACCCAAATCCAATCTTAAATCATAATCCCTACAATCCCCAGGTGTGGAGGGAAGGATTGGATTACAGGGGTGGTTTCCCCCATGCTTTTCTTGTGATAGTGAGTGAGTTCTCACAAAATCTGATGGTTTTATAAGTGTTTGACAGTTCCTCCTTCACACACTCTTCCTCTGTCCTCTCTACTGCCGCTTTGTGAAGAAGGTGTCTGCTTCCCCTTCCACCATGATTGTAAGTTTCCTGAGGCCTCCCCAGCGAAGCAAAATGGAGTCAATTGAACCTCTTTCCTTTATAAATGACCCAGTCTCACACATTTCTTTATAGAAGTGTGGAAACAGACTAATATACCTCCTATTCCCAGAAGAAAACAAGCTAACTGCATTTAAGACATGCTAAGTATTTTCAGGCTGTTATTGCCCTGAATATTGAGTTTGAATATTGGCTTTGCAGTAGGCTGAACTAATTAATTTATTTTATATAATTGGAATTTGAGACTCTTTGATATCCCATGGAAATATATGCAGAATATTTAAAGTACTTTTTTCTCTGATTTACTGGTAGTAGGGAAGGAAATCTGGTGGCCTCAGTTTGAAATGCCTCTTCAATGACAGTCTCCTATCCATCCAAAGACTAGGTATCTTTGGACTTTTAGAAATCCTTCAAGATGACACAATACAAAGGAGCAATTTAGTTTCACCATGTAGTTCAAAGATTATGTAAGGATTTTTATAGATCTGTTCACAATACCTCTTTTGCTGAGCAGTGGAGAAAGGGACATATGAATTCCATGCACTTTTATTATCAATATGTCATCTAAAACAAAATAGATTTTTGATTATGGATTTGTTTATCTAGAAAACTACATGTCCAGAATTATTGTTTTTTAAAAATTCCCACTTTGGTCATATCTGACCAAAACAGTGCGATTATAACTGGAAGACATTATGTGAATGTCACTCACATTCACCTTCACTTTACCTGCTCCCAGGAACAGTGCCCAATAAATGATCTAAGCTCCAAAGACACCTGGCTAATCTACACATACGTTAAAAACTCAACAAGTAGCTCCTGGATCACTAGAAATTTTACTGATTTAATATTATTAAATATTATACAAAGCATTTAAGTAGTAAGATAAATGTAAGTTACAAACACATGAGGAATTCAAAATTAATTTGAGGTGGTTGATTGTAATAATTTTCCTTTACAAACAGAAATACTGTTTTATGCCTTCATTCATGTTGAATCAATATAACTGCATACAACAGATCTATTATTCCTCTGATAAAAGCCAGTAGGGATATTTAAGTATCCTAGGTAAGCTAATTATTTTGACAGGAAATTGCTTCTGTGTATCTTAGCCTTATCACTATTATGTTTTTATAAGCCAATATTTCTCTTTTCTGTTTACCGAAGTGTCCTTCATAAGACAGTACACAAAGTATGAAAAACATGGCTTTCAACAGGTTTTCCACATTTGTTAAAAGTAGTTGGCATTTAAATAGTTGAGTGTCGGGAGAGAGGCTACACAGTTACAATGTGTCCATTGATAAATCTTTTACTCAGAAACAGCTTATGGCAACTCAGGAAATGTTCATTGCTCTTTTAAATGGTTAAGATCCAGTTTTTGTATTCTGTGATAGCAATTTTATTTCTAGTGGCATAACTTTCCCTAGTTCATTCCCACACCCTCTTCACCATATAAAAATTAAAATATCCCATTTTCTTTCACTGCAATACGCTTGCAACACGATGGTTCATTTCTTTCCCTTGTGGCTCTCTTGGGTTCAGTATTAAAGTTTTTTGAATCTTCTCCTATCTTCCACATTATGGTTCACAGCATGACCGTCTTGCCTGTCCTCTCTGCTTAACCCCTTAAGTGATCACCTGTTCTTACAGTTTCCATAACCATCTCTAATTTAGGGAGCTATCGGTGCTGCTTCTGCCGCAGATGTAGGAAGATGGTGCCAACACCATCATGAATGAAGATTCAGCCTGAGAGAGTGACGTGAGCCAGGCATCCTCTGCTTTTCTGCTTCTTCTCATGTCCCAGACCCTACTGGTCTGAACTCTTGAGGTTCCCCATGCGCAGTGGGAAAGCCCAGCAGCTTCTCCTCACACCCACTCTCAGCAGTGGATTCTTTTCTTGCTCGTTCATTCCATGTATGCACAATGGCCTTTTTCACCTATCCCCATTTCCAGACTCCTTTCTAGGTAGGACAGGGACCCTCAGGTCTGGGATGCCTTTCAAAATGTTCCCCCTTTTGTATGAAAAAATCAACTTCCAAACACACTGTAGGTCTCTTTTGCAGCCCAGAAAACCTCGAGGTATCTTCTTGTTTCTCATTCACTCACTCATTCATTTATTCATTCATTCATTCATTCATAGAGTAAATATTATGCAGCCACTGTGGCATCAGGCACTGCGGTATGTGCTGGGTATACAGCACTGAACACAAAGGCAATCCTGAAGCTTACCAACTACCTACTTTACAGGTATTGATCGACTTACGACCTATGCAACTTACGACCATTCGACTTTACGACCACAATCACTAGCCACGACTGCTCCATGCCTGGCAGCGCAAACGTTGCCCAGCTGGGCATACGACAGTGCGGACCAGCTTCCAGCAGCACTACCATCTCCACGTGCACCATTTCAACTGTACATATAGCCTACTCAACTTACGACCAAATTGTGTTACAACCAGTCTGCCGGTCCCGATCGTGGTCATAAGTCGAGCACTAGCTGTATTTAACCTTGTGTTTCTAGGACCTTGAGTCCCACCACTTTTACCTGCACTTCCTTTCACACTCATACCACATGCTGCACTCATTATTGGCTAAACATATCATATTCACCATCCTGCAACCTTTACTCAACTAATTCAAATCCTTTATCCAAGCCATGTCCTCTTTTTTGTTCAATGTTAATCTCACATCAATCTTTCCTAATTCCCTAACTTAACTCATGAAGACTTTTCATCTACGTGTGTGATTTGTTATAAAGGGAAGACAATATTTGGGAATAAAGATGTGAGGAGAGAAATATACAACTTGTATAAAATCAAAGCATCTATTTTATTCTAAAAAGTCACAAAGAAGACAGAAGTCACTGACTCATTTTGCATCATTAGGTGTTATTAAGGTTGTCAATACATCAATACCAACAACTACACTTCTGATAACTTATGTACATAAGCTGTGAGGTCTTTGGAAGTGCAAGTGAAATTGTTTATCTACCGCCCTATTCAAGACACAGGCACACACATACGTACTTAATGGTGGGCTTGTATCTCATTGCTTCGTATCCCCAGCATAGTTTGAGAAGAAAATTAAGAAAAGAAAATGTTCAATAAGATCTCTGGGACTCTTCACCTCAAACTCTTGAGTTTCATGTTTTTGGGAAATCAACCATCATCGCTAGCAGAAATTTCTCATTTCATTACCTTTGCATAATTGTACTGATATTTTAACTATCCTGCCCATTATGTTAAGTAATGTGGATTTAGCATTGAGCAAAGCATACTTGGTCTTTTCCCTTCATGTTCCTGACATGGAAGACAGCGTGGTGTATTTAAAGGCAGAGGAGCTGATTATAATTAAAGACAGCCTCTCGTGTGGTGCACTTTCTCTTCAACCTCCATCAGGTGGTTTTCTTATTCCTTCAGTACCTTACTGCTAGCTCCATACTACCTCCCTAGGCAAGGAATATTGAACAGTGGATTCCCAACATGTTTCTGTGCTGTCAGGCATAATAAGATCCACACAAAAGTCCAGGAGAGCTGACTGGTGTTTTCTTAGACCTCAAATACTTAAACTCTAAATTAAGATAGAAGAAAGTAATTCTATTTTTATTAACTTTTCATTAACAAAAGCAATACAGGTTTGTTGTAGAAAAATTAGAAAAACTATAAAAACGAAATAAGAAAGAAAAATGAAAGCCACCAGGAATTCAACTTCTAGAGGCTCAATCATTTTTGCAAAGAATTTGTTGAGCACATACATTGTGTCTGCCACTGAATGAGGGACTGCAGATGAAGTAGCAATCAGTTATGGTCTCTATTCGAATTTTCTTTAGCTAGGGTGCTTACTCTCCAAGAGGATATGAATTATATCTCTTTTAGGAATTTCTTTTCCATATGTATTTTTCCATGCATACATTTATTTTAAAATGGTTGCTTACACATGGTTTTGTAACCAGGTTTTTAAAATCTAGCAATATTCTGTGAACACCTTCCTCTGTCAGTAAGTATGCATGTATAGAAAATCCTAACTACATATAAATACCACCTTCAGACATCTTCTTGCCCCATAGCTCATTTACATGTATACGTGTGCAAGGCCTCACAAGGTGAACAGATATAAGGACAGCTTTCCAGATTAGGTTCCCAATGTTGAATGTGTATCTGAGTAAGGCATTACCCCATATTTTGAAGACAAATGTATTTGATGTTACCAATTTTTAAATGTTGGCATTACATTATTAATTCTTATTTCAAATATTTTAATTTATTCCTCTTTAGTTCCAATAGCCAAAGAACTCAAAACAACAAACCGCTAAAATCTACATTTGAACAAGAGACTCCTGCCTTTTCCCTATATACACATTTACATCCTCAGTTTGGCTTCAGCACACCATAACGAAAACTTGAAGACAAAAGTGGATTCTTATTCCTGATGTCGGAACAGCAAGATGTCCTTATTTCTGTAAAGTTAGACTGTCCATTTTGTTTGCCAAGTTTCCTCTCAGGCAGAAGACATGTCCATTCAGAACAAATGAATATAAATTTCATGCCATAGTTTCAATTAGGAAAAAAAAATCCCCAATTTTTATCTTATTGTCTGTTATCCAACATCCATCCACCTGCCTCATGCTTCACCGTCCCCGCTCACTCCACCAGCCCCAATTCCAGGGCACATTTGAGCCTTATAACTTCTGATACCTGCACCTCCCTCTGCCCAGTTGAGTGTCCTCTCTGTGCATCCTGAGTTTCTGAACTTCCCCTCTTTCTCTGAGCCCAGATCATCTGTGTCCTGCCCTCTCAAACTCTTCCTTTCCCTCCATGAGGTCACCTCTCATGGCTTCTACAGCCTCTTACATGCACAGAGCACTTTTCAGACCAGAATCCAGTAACTCTGCTGTCTCCCATTTAGGGGCTGCTCAATGATTGACAGGATTTCAATCATCACAATCATTTAAGGGGAAGTGTTAAAAACAGAATTTGATGTAAAACTGAATGTTATCTCCCACTCAGAATGCTTTGTCCAAAGGAAAATAATCTTCAGTAGCTCACACATACACGCACACACACATACACCCTGTGAAAATGTACTTCAGGATACATGGGAGCTTCCATGGGAAAATAGTGAGCTTGTTGGTTGATTTCAGCCCAAATTACGTTTACTGTCGTACAAAAACAGAGTTCTTCTAACAAAAATATTGGTTGAGGGCTTATTAGGTGCTAGGCTCTGTTTAAGAATATCATACATTTTCAGGTCAGGTTTGTTGGCTCATACCTGTAATTTTAGGGTTTAGAAAAGCTGAGGTGGGTGGATCGCTTGAGTCCAGGAGTTCAAGACCAGCCTGGGCAACATGGAGAAAACCCATCTCTACTACAAAAAATTAGCTGGGAGTAGTGGCATGTACCTGTAGTCCCCGCTACTCAGGAGTCTGAGGTGGGAAGATCACTTGAGCCTGGGAGGTTGAGGCTGCAGTGAGCCAAGATCATACTACTGCACTCCAACCTGGGTGACCAGAGTGAGACCCTGTCTCAAAAAAAAAAAGAAAAAAAAAAGATTTATCTCATGCA